ATTGCATCTGTCCTCTATTTCATACAAATTCTGAGAAAAACCTACAAGCCACATCAATGTCTTTGCAAGCGCTATAAATTTGTAATTGGTTCATGCAAAAAAGTTGCTGTGTACACCACCTGTTAAACCACAGGAGGGTTGAGACTGCCAAACAATTTTCATTTGCATAAGAAACTAATAATTTATTTTGAAAGGCTGGATGTTTTTTATTGCAAAATCTTATGAGGAAGGTAACTATTTTTCAGATACCTAAAACCTCAGACCTCAGATATGACAAGTCTCAGACATGAACTGTGATTGACTTTATATTACTGCATAGCAGGGAAGTGTGCAAGCAGTGCCTTGACTGCCTCCTTCTTCTCCTCCAAGCAGAGAAATGTCATACTGCAAACCTTGCATACAGACTGCAAAGAACTCCATGCACACATGCTAGTGCCATTTAAGACTGAAACAGGCTCCCTGTTTCTGTAATAGTTTGGACCTTCATTGTCCACATTCCTGCCTTTCATGCATACTTGGATTTCCTGCACCCTGCTTTGCCCTAAGACCCTAAATTACAACCTCCAGGTTCCTTCCTGTCTTTTCCTGAAGAATCAAACTATACCATACTGTTTATCAATAATATCTACATGAACCTCTCATTTCAGACCCTAGATCTCAGCTCCTGGCAGAGCTTTCCAGTACTTTTACACTGTCTATTTGACTTTCTGCATTTCTAACCTGTACCTTTCTTTCCCAAGAATGCTAGTGCCCTCCACGTACAAAAAGTGCAGCTAGAGATCCACTATTCTTTCCTGCAAGCCAACACACAGCTGCATTTCCCTAACTGATCAATTTGAGCTTCCTGAGAGGAGGAAATAAACTCTGCCTGCAGTGCAGCAGCCGCACTACATCCTCCTGGCTCAGCTCTGCTCGCACTGCAAAGGCGAAGGGGAAGTGATGGTCAGTAGTTCTTGCCCGGCCAAGACTCGCTGCAATACATGCACTTTCAGACCCATAGCTTTGATCACTTAAGACTTTCATTTCCTTGATCCAATTACCTAGAAATAAGTGAGGACTTTTAGAGGGAGTTGGAGAGAAAGAAAAGGCAAGAGGCAAAGTCCAGAAGGAGTATTCCTGTACATTCCTGCCTCTCTGGTCTGTTTGCCACCTTTACGTAATGTAAGCCCAGTACAAAGGGGTCAGCTGCCAGCAACAGAAATGTTTCTTGAACGCACCAGTCTTCCAAAGGTCCTGCCAAAATGCAGCTGTTGGTGCAGAGCAGAACACACCCAGTGTATCCCGCAGCTCTTTCAACCTTTTTCTTGCCTAGTCAATGAGATTTCAGAGTCACATGAAGGATGACCTTCCTTCCCAGCCATCCGCTGCAAGGCGGCATCCCCCGATACGGACAACTGGGAGCTGGTGTTCATGGCCACACTTGGGGCACGTCCTCCCTAGCTCCTGAGCAGCACCATACCCTTTCTCCAGAACGGACCTGGCACAAGATGCAAACAGCTGGGGAGAGACAGCAGGTTTGTCTACCTATGATTCCAAAGTAGGAAAGAAATACAATGCTATGGGATCTTTTGAACTGGAGTAATTCAAAGCAGATATGAAATTAGTGGATATTTCACATGAGGTGTGAGACTTGACTGGTTTCACTACTGTACTCCTGAAATACTGCCAAAAGGACAATGGCTTTCCAGGTACGATACTGAAGGAAGAATTCTGTAACTGACATGGTCCTGCAGAACTCTGTCCAGAGCTCACCCTGGCATAGGTGTACATATAAATCACACCCTTACAGGGAACCAAAACGCAATAGCACAAGGGTTTAAGGGATTAAAGACTTACTCTGGAGACTGGAGTTATTCCTGGCACAGTCACCAGCCCCAACTCGCCTCTCAACATCTCAATTTTATCAAAAAACTGGCCATAATCAGTGTTCAACAGCAGGCAGCACAAAGCACTGTGCACTCCTAGCACACTCTCTTCTCTTCTGATTTTTTTTTTTAGTGAACAGCCCCAGGTCTGTGCAAAGATTCTGCATTTCTAGTAAAAACACCATTGTAAAATGTGACCCACCTCACCCTATTCCTAAAATTTTTCACAGGTAAAATGTAGTCCTTCCCCTAGAAACCTAATACTTCTCAAGCACTACTTTAATAAATCATGTGAAATCTGAAGTAGGTTTCCCTGAGTGAATCAACAGAGAGCTTCATTCCAATTTTGTCTACTCTAGCCCCAAAAGATGCCTAACACAATGCCATCACCAAGCTCACTCATCTGCTGTCACTGCCCGTTCTTAAGCCGATGGGGAGACATGGCAAGAGCACACATGCTACATCTTGTGTTTCACAGCCCTGAGAAGCTTGAAGGTAGGACAAGGAGCCAGACCAGAGAGTCAGCTGCTTCCCAGTGGAGCAATTCCAACATGGGTGCTCTTTCACAGAGTGGAGGGGGAATGGAGAAGGGCAAAAAGTCAGAAGGGAATTTCCCCTACACTAGAATTTTCTCTCCATGAAGAGGTATACAAATACATAGTCTACAGGCACAATTCACAGGATCTGTCAAGTTTGCTTTACACAGGAAGCAACCACTTTTTTAAGTTTTAATGACAATCTAACATTGGTATAAAACCCAGGTATCTTTCAGGTTTTATGGAAGTTTTGTGTTTGCAAATTGATCTTTTATAGAGTCTTGCTGAACTGTGACTCATGTTTACTTTAGCAGACATTCAAAAAATGGCTGCACCTACCAATTATTCCATTTTTTAACTTGGTATCTCAGACATCTATTATTTAAGGCATTTTCTTAAATTTTTAACTTGTGCAAACAATGTATACAAGCTCTGAAGACACACAAACCCTCTGAAATTTGTGCTTCTACATAAATACGCTTGTAGATACTTAAATATTGCAGTCATAAATTTATTTTTCTCTTATTTTGAATGTGTCATGAACACTTGCCTACATGAACAACAAGAATGCCAAAAAATCTCCTAAGTCTGGCCAGAAGTGCAGTATTTATACTTGAATTAAAATGAATTCCATGTGCAAGCTAAAGTAGCACTCCATCAATAAAAGTTCCAACCACTGTCTGTGGTATGGGACCGAGGCATCTCTTTTCAGCTTTATCTGCCGCTAGGGATTTCTTGCCTTACGTAGCTAAGAATCAACAGAGAACTATTTTAAGCATATCTTCAAGTACTCTGTTTAATTTTTATCTAATTAAAAGAACTATTGGAAGTCTAGTGTATGCATGAATACATACACAACTATACATTTGAATTTTCATAACAAAACTTCTTCACATGATGGAATTTTGTGAAGAAAATGTTACTCCTTAACATGTACTCACAATTTGATCAAAAACGCTCCCCTTTCTTTTTCTAGTTCTAAGCCATTAAGTAATTTTGCTTGTTGACAGCTGGAACAAAATATACTAATTTCTAAAACAGAGGAGCATGAAAAATATATTTTAATATTTGCCATCCTCGCTTTTCATTCAGAATGGTTTCATACAAGTGTAGATATGTTTCAGTGTCCAATCAAGTCCAATACTAAGATCTAAACATGGCTGCATGAAGGATCTAGAGAAGAAAGGCAGTTGAGAATTATGTAAGCAGGAGAGAAGTAAAGAGGGTGTTCCATAGATGGGCCAATAAAAAGATTTCTGGGAGTTCGTCAACAGTAATTAATTTCAAGTATCCTCTCCAGGAGGACCTTGGGTCTTTACTAAAAAGTGGTATGGTTATTTCCCTGAGGTCTCAGAAAAGTACAATGAGGTGGTCCATAAGAGAGAAGCAAGCTATTAGTAGATTGAAAGATTTAAAAACAACACCTTGAACTGTAGTTATATGCAGATAGAAACAACTGTATTATGCAAAATGTATATATATTTGCATTAGCAGACAGCTGAGCAAGTTACAAGCTGAATGTTACACCAGATTACACTTGCAAAGGATTATTTTATCATAGCCAAAATTACAATAATATATTGGCCCAACCTAGAAAATATAAGGCAAAGAGAACTGTAGAGACTTGCACTACCCGCGCTTTTCTGTGTCCTTCTGGCTACAACCACCACCACATGCCCCACATACACGAACTGAGAACAAGCAGCATGAGTGTACTGAAAATGTCTTAAAACACTAAGTTACTCTTCTACAATGGTTAAATAACTGGAAGGAGCCAAAGCTTTGCTTATTCTTCACAAGTATTTCTGCTGTACCAAATGCCAGCGCCATCATTCTATCAGTCTGATGTGTATACTCTCTAGCTGTACCCAAAAAAACAAATAAACCAGCGCTTTTATTAGTAACTTACAGTACATAAATTCCAGTACAAACTTGTAAAGGAATTTCTCCTGGGGGAAAAACATAATTAGTTTTAGAGTTTTCCAGAATAGTAGAGGGTTGTTGGGTTTTTCACATGTTTCAGGCACACACAGAATACTAAACATCTATATTTGTAAGTTCCAAAATATTTTCAACAAGTCTCTGTAAAAAATGGGGCGCTTTTTTTGTGTTAGAGGATGCCTGTTTATCATACATTTTCTTGTCCACTAACAGCATCTATCCAGACACAAGGCCACGTTAAAATTACTTCAGTCATGCATTAATCATAGTTGATGAAAGACTTTAGGCAAGTATTCAGTTTTAATAAAAACTCTTGAAAGTTACTATCCACATAAAGAAATATCTTGGAAAGTTTCACCCTAAAAGCAAACCAGAAACCCAATAATTAATAAAGAAATTATACCATCTTAAGTTTTAAATAACACTGACCAGATGGTTTAATCTAAGGGTCTATATAAGCCAAAAATAGCAGATTAAAAAATGCAGGAGAAACGGGAGTGTGATAGGAAAGTCTACTGTTTCAGGATTTGAACATTCTACATAGCAAGGCTATTCTAAAATATACAGAAGTTAGAAAGGATGAGGATCTGGTGTCCTCAAATGTGGAAGGTAAAGAGTAGCTTTTTTTTAAATAAAATTAATCAAGCTTCTTATTTACCTTTAAATATTTTGCAAGTTTCTGAATTCCCCAGTATTCTGATGGCAAATCAGTGTTTCCTTCCTGATGACGTAAGGGGTGTTCTTCATCTTCCTCAGTCTCTGAGGAACTTTCACTAACATCTTCAAACCTGCCTGATGTTTTACTAAAAATAAACAAACAGCATTGCCCATTTTAAACAGCAATAAACTAATAGGAACAATCACATTTTAAACAAGTATGACAACACTGCCTAAGAACAGAAATATTAGAAAATATTAGAAAAATATAACTGACATTGCCAAATACTAAGTATGGTGATAATTAATGTAGATACATAAAATAAAAATCAAAAAATGGAAGGAAGAAAATTAGTAACTCATACCATTTTGAAGCTCGTTGTATTTTAACAGATTCAGAAGAAATGCCACTGGATTTCTTTTTGATTTTCAGAGAGACAGTACTGCTGCTCCCTTCTTGTTCTGTATCTTTTTTTGTAGCACTGTCACTAAAATATTTGGGTTTAGTAAAAAAAAAAAAAAATTATATACATACAACCAAAAAGCTACAGTTGGACGCATTATGTCAGTACATATGAGCTTATGAACGTATATAATAAACTCCATTAAACGAAAAGTATGCTGTGTCTTAAGTGACTGATTTTGCTTTATTAAAACAGTGGAATATTAGAAAAAAAATTCTTCCATCAATGTCTCTGGTTACTTTTTGAACTTATATAAACAAATGGCCTCTGCTATCCTGTGGGAAAGAATTTTAGAGCTCAGCCATGTGTTGTATGAAGAAGTCTCTCTCTTTGTTCTGAACTGGCTCATTTTCATTTGATGCCCTTTCTTTTTGTATTAGAGCAGAGAGTGACTATCTGTTCCCTATTTACCATCTCCAGTCATGATTTTTTTCTATGTGTCTTATTGTCTCCCAGTCATCGTTTTTCCAGTTCTGGACTGCCTAGTTCTACACACTGAGTTGTTCCATAGCTTTAATAGGGTTGGATACAATACATCTTGCTTTCCTCATATTCAAAGAAGACTGCTGCTTTTTTGTCCCTGATTTACAACATTGTGGAAACAAAATGTCCTTTTGAGTCTGGGCTGCTCATACTATCACAGTCACAACAATAAAAGAGAATACTAGTCATGGTTACAGCTAATTTCATTACATAGAGTCATAGAATGGTTTGGGATGGAAGGGACCTTAAAGATCATCTAGTTCCAACCCCCCTGCTGTGGGCAGGGACACCTTCCACTAGACCAGGTTGCTCAAAGCCTCATCCAGCCTGTCCTTGGGCACTTCCAGGGATGGGGCATCCACCACTTCTTTGGGCAACCTGTTCCAGTGCCTCACCACCCTCTCCGTGAAGAACTTCTTCCTGATGTCTAATCTAAACCTCCCCACTTTCAATTTAAACCTGTTACCCCTTGTCCTGTCACTACAGACCCTTGTAAAAAGTCCCCCCCCAGTTTCCATGTAGGCCCCTTCAGGTACTGGAAGGTCTCCCCGGAGCCTTCTCTTCTCCAGGCTGAACAAGCCCAACTCTCTCAGCTTTTCTTTATATCAGAGGTGCTCCAGCCCTCTGACCATCTTCGTGGCCTCCTCTGGAGTTGTTCCAACCGGTCGATACCCTTCTTATGTGGACGGCTCCAGAGCCTTCTAAACACTAACGGTGACTGTGGATAAATATAAGCTCTTGTCTCTGGAAAACCACATTTTTTAAACTGGTGACAGTAGGTCACATCAAAAATCTCTAAAAATGTTTCTTGCAACATGTCAAGTTAGCAGACTTGAGAAAATACTTTTTCTTGTAGGATGGTAATCAAAACCTTTCCTTCAGATATTCTTCTTCCTCCATGAACAACGAACTGGGAAAACACGAAATCAGAACAGAGTTCTGATTTCAGAAGACAAATCCAACAATAGTCAATATATGTATACTCTGGTTTTGGGTGTCCAAACTTTGAGATAACTTCATTAGTGAAGACTGTTGCTAAACTGAACTATAAGTGCCTCATATAATCATTAAAAATTGGTAGTATAAGTAAAAGTCAACCTGATTTTCCATCCTGGATTTCTTTTGCCTCCCCCAGAAAGTGTGCTTTAGATTAGATTGTCTGCTCTGTCTTGCTTTAAATGGCATTTTACACCAAAATAATGATAATATCACAGTTCTGGAGAACTGGACTGCAGATGGTTGCAAGATATTTCCCTGCCCTCCTGTGGAAATGACATAATATCATCAAAGTTGTTGCATGACAGAGAAAACCGAGAAATCTCTTTGCTAGTCCTTAATCTCTTCTTAGAAATTAACATGTAGTAAATTTTGTGTTGTTCCTTCTAACTGAACATAATCATGTAAATCTGTAACATGCAGTCCAATCATTAGCACAGTTTAGAGACATCTAAAGGAAAAATCAATTATAAATACTTATCTGTGGGAAGCAGAAAGCCTGGTATTCTTCCCCTTCATAGATGATTCTAATTTCTTCTTGTCAATGGATATCCTCCTTGCTGCAGTACTTTTCACTTTCTCACATACATTCTTTTCTGTAAAATCATAAAGGTTCTGGGATTGGCCAGAGACCTTAGCATCAACTACTTCCATACGCTGATAATTCCTCTCATATGTCGGTTCTTTGAAAAAATCATATTCCTAATAAAAGGAGACATGGTTTGTCAGTCATATTGTCATACGAATAATGCATATTAAAACAATAACTTATAAGCACAGTTCCAGGATACTGTGCTTAAAAAAATGTATGTATTAAATGTAGAATTAGATTATAAGGATAAAATCAGATTGCTTTTAAAAGAACGAAACATTAATCTGGAAAGTAGCTGTTACCGTGTGCAAATGAAAGTTTTTTAAATAAATTAACAAGTTAAATTTGGAACTTCCTAAACATACTTGAATATTGGGTGTTATTCCATTTCTAATACGTTAAATAATTTGTGACACAAGCACTATTATACCCCTTAATTCCAAAAGAGTTTTAAGATACAGAATTGCAAGGTCAGTCATTCTGCTTCCAATGGATCATTTTCATTTAAAAATATTTCCCTGCATAAAGGATTTATTAAAAATTCCCACCAAAATATAATGAACATAAAACTGAAAATAGACTATGACAAACTGCTAGACTTCAGTTCCAAGTAATTTAATTTGCTATAGTTTAGAATTAATATAAACACATTCCATTTCAGTTTTTTCATCTTCTGTCTCTCAGCGCAAAACACTGTTGAACAAGTCACATACAAGACTGGACATGAGTAGCACCTATGAATCCTTCAGCTGTCTATGTCTAGTACCATGGCTGATCAGAAATATCCAGAAGAGAAAGGACTCTTGTCAACTCTCATTCTTCCTTGGAACATATTCAAGTTTTACAGGAAAGACAGCATACGATCATTACTTATTATTATTACTGCAGCTGTCACTACCAGATAGGTGAAGACATTACATATCTGATTCAAGGCAGTTTTAAGGAGACTGTCACAGTATGTTCTGTTTTCGACTAGGTCATGATGTCAATCAGCTGTCCCAGGCTTGCTGACCCAACTGCCTAATCATAAAGTAACTCATGCTAATTCTTTCCTTCTGAAAAGGTACTCTAGACAGGACGATTTAACACATGATAAACTAGACAAATCACAGGGAAATTGATGCTGTAGCTTGACCAGCTAAGCACATGTTAAAAAGTATGCTTCCTACAGCAATTCTAAATGTTAGCTTAACCAAGGCCAAGAAGATGATATAAAAGTTAATTGGGTTTGCAATGTATGTGCACATAATGAGCTTTGTGAAGTTCTCCTCTCCTCAGAAAATAAATCAAGACTATTTCCAGTCACAATTTATTTCATGAAGGCAACCTTGGAAATACAGCTTTTGTCTGCTTTTCAGAGTTCTAGAGCAGAGCAGATGTTCCCTCAAATACAAATGTTCTGCAGCTCAACAGTATTAACTAGTTTATATTCTAGTTTTAGAACACAGAATGAACTAAACTAAACACAGAATGTACTTCAGCAAGGCAATATGGTATGATATCCCTAAATCATTAAAATGGTATATTTAACACTCTTCAGCATTAACTTATTTACACAATCAGGGAATACTGAGTAAGCTATTTACATGACAACTGAAAGAAAATAGGATAAATTCTACTTATTTACTCACATTTAATAAGTATATACACATGTGTTGAATAGCTACAGTATCTTTATAAGCGCAGAAAACCAGTAAAGAAAGGTATATTCTCCCCATTACAGATATTAACATTAGTCCATATTAATGTTTAGGATTAGAACTGTAAAAAAATCTTAAAATCTTACCATATTTTACCTTTCTTGACCATCAAATGAAGCCAAATCACTTTGAAAATACATTAACCCAGAAATTATGTCTAAAAACATTTATACATTGTCACATTTATGAAATGTAAACTAATATGTAGATATAACATTAAAAAATACTTGCCTATGGGATAAATAAAACACAATTTGGAACTTACTGCACTTTCAGAGCAACTTATAAATTTGATTCCATTACTGTAATATAAACTACCATATTTATGTCTACAAGTTGAAATGCTATGTTCTTTCAGAACTGTCAAATATTTAAAAAAAAAAAAAGAAAAAAATCAGCCCTACATCCCAGATAATCAGAATTAAAGGATAAGAAAATTTCCCTGTCAATGCCTTCCTTCTTGTAATAATTAAAATTGTATGAAAATAACCACAATAAAACTTTTGACAGGTTTTAGCTTGTAATGAGTTTTACCACCAAGTCATTTATCTGTTATAAACACAATAGAAATCTGAAAAGGAGTTTTTATGAGGAATGACGAAACAATTAAAATGGCAGTGCACTCTGTGATTCTAGCTAATACAGAGCTCTAAATAAAAGCCAAAACACTTGCATTTTACAATGGGTGAAGCAATGCATAGTGTGTAAGCTGATGCTTAATTCGTGGTGCTCATATTTAAATCAGGCAGTTCTCATTAAAAAAAAAAAAGTTGGGCTATTATTTATGTTTGGGTTAAAAACAATGAAGATAAAAATTTAAGTGTTTCTAATCACAGAAAAATATTGTCATAAAAAGTTGACATTTTCCATAAGGATATCGTATTTTTGTGCTTTAACATTTCCAGTGCTCCGCTAAAGTTTTCATGCAAAATTAGAAACTGACCTCAGATGTTGCATCAAACCTCATAATAAGGTATGATAGAATGATACATAAATTGTGTATCATTTGCTATTTACAGAAGGAACATATTTAGTTGAATCTCAAACAAAGCCAAAGAAAAATAGATGCATTTCAGTCTTTAAAATTCTTCACCTAGTCACAGATTCACCTTCAATAAGAACACAAGTGTTCAGCCAGGCATATAATGCAATTCTTACCAATGTACAATGTATGTTTGTAGGAAGCAGAACATACACCCAGCATCAGTAAATACATACCTGTTTAGCCATATTTTCTGCAAATCTAGGTGATCTGTCCCTTAAAAATGTGACAATATCTTTATACACATCACTTTTTCTTTCATAGTCAATGTCATCTTTACCCTTCAGCTGACCCTTAAAAAAAAAAGAATAAATTTAAAATTATTGATAGTATTTCCTTACACAGGTCATTTAATCTGCATCATAAAATTGTGCAAAAGACCACAGAGGTCATACTGTAATGAATTACGTACAGAAGGCTCATGCTCAGCAGTCCATCAGACTTCAATAATGCTTTGTAAAGATACATGGATCATCTCCACGGATCCCAACAGATAATCAGGATCTTACATAGAATTCTGCAGTAATTACTACCTGTTAATTGTACTGTGTGTAGTTCCACTGAAAAGAATTTATGGTTTATGGCAAACAACCAAGTAAATACAAGCTTCCTGTGCAGTATGGCACAGGAAGGATCTAAAAGGATCAGAAAATAATGTGACCTGATCAGCCTAAGCTTTATGAGCTCCACACAATAAAAATGTGCTAAATCAAAATTTCCCTGTGTTTTTTAACTCTTAGGAAATCAATTTGGGTAGTTACACCTGACGAATCTCTCTCTTCAAAAATGAATGTAAGAGCTCTGGTCACTACTTCACAGACATAAGGAATTAATATTCCTAAATAAAACCTGTTTGTAAGAAAGAGGTAAGCAAAATGAAAAGTAGAAGAAAAGAGATAAATACTTTTGAAAAAGCTTCCACTGAAAGGAGAAAGAACTGCTTACGATTTATAAGAAGACAAAAGCAAGCTATATTAGCCAAACACAATATTACACCTCAGATACAGAGGAACTAGGCACTAGAAAGGCATCTAGTCCCACAGTAGCTTTAAATAGGAATACTGTGATAGGGCACTAACAGTTTAACAACTAACCAAGCACAGCTGGCAAAAAGTGCAGAATACACACCTAGCATAAAAATGACAGAAAAAGTACTCAAACCATATGGGAAAACTAGCATACATTTATTACTGAGTCTTCTCCTTCTGTACCAATAAACTAACTCTGCGGGTCTTACAGCCTTCAACACTGCAACCCTAAATCTGATGGATTTTTGATTTTAGCACATAAAAATATGCATTACTCCACGGAATCCTCTATTATTACTTACTCCATTTAAAAACACTCCTGCTGTGCTGCAAGTGATATACAAAGGATCAGTGTCATGCGGTTTGACGACTAAATAACAAATTTCTCCATGCACTTGTCTCCAGGGAGGAGCTCGGCATCCATTAGAGAACGTGTAATCTGTAAGCAATTAGCATGAAAGTTTTCATCCAGTTTTAAAACATTTTCAATAGTTATGCTTGATGATCAATGTAACATGTACACAAACAAAACTCAGAAAACAGTATCATACTCTTAAGATTTCCTACTCAGTTAGGAGTTAATCACGTAAAGCTCTGTGACCCGTGGCCTGATCCAACTAGGAGCTGAAACTGCGCTTAGCAGTTTTCAGGATCAGGGACTCAGTTTGCTTCCTCTGCTTCCACTGAAGAAATTCATACGATTGGAGATTACTTCCCTAACTAAAGGCTGAAGAGCAGCATTCCATATCCAGAAATATTTTATTTTACTCTATAACTTTAAAGGAGAAATAAACATTTTAAATTCATTACTGAAATTAATTTAGCAGGTTTCACACAGAAGTCAATTACTTTAATAAGGATATATATAAATGTGAGATATGATCAGATCTGGACCTGATGTATATTCCAGTGATTCCAGCACAGTATCTTCTCCTTTCCCAGAGAAATTCTTGAGAAGATTCACTTCATTATTTACAGCAGCTGGATTTAGTCTTACATCTCTGCAATCAACAGAAAATGGTCTAAGATATATTCATCAAAAGGATGTGCTCAGAGAAATGAAAAGAGAATATTATATGATTTTTTTTCCTTATATGTTGAGTCTTAATAGTAGCAACAAAAGTCGGGAAATGGTCATCTTCTATTGTTGTTCTCAATTTTATCTTTGGTTTAGTGAAATTTTAGTTCCATAGGTTATATGAAGTACTTATAACTACAAAACAGACTCAATTTAATACTTAATATGCTTCCATGAAGAAATAAACATTTCCTTGAAAATATTTAGCTGTAACTTTGTTGTTTATACAAATGACTTCAATTTGCTACCAAAACACATGCCATAAAAAAAAAAAAACACTCGCAGGCACGCACTTACACACCCACACCTAGAGAAAAAAGCGTTTTTTCAATAACTTAGTGAACAGTTATTTCAATAAATTTCTTTATGTCGCCCCAAAAGCACATGCTGTGGGTTGAAACCAATCTGATTTAACAATAAAACAAAAACATGCACTGGCTGACATGCTTAGCTTCCATCTGAAACGCACTTACTGTGAAATGTGTTTCAAAGAACTATTAAGCAGTTGCAAATCCAGCTGCTGAAGAAGATGACTGATTTTCATTTTCATCTCTGTTTCAGGGTCATCATCTTCTTTCACTTTGCCAAGTAAACGCAACACGGACATGTCTTCTCCTTCAACGGTCCCATATTCAGGGCCAAGAATTTTCACTATAGGATCTCTGTTAGCTGTAAATATGAAACAGCATCATACAATGTGATACTGTGTTAAAAATGATTAGGTAAGACAAACATTTTTAATTGCAAATGCAGAATAATTTTTGTGCTATTAATTTACAATAAGAACTTTAATAATGTGCATAGTTATCTGTCAAACCTTACAATATGATGTATTCTCTCATATGCCTCTTGCAATATGAAATACACTTTGGGAAGTATGAAAACATTGAGAACAAAAAGAAATTTTTCATAACAAACATAACTGCTTTTCACAACAAAAATTAAGATGCATTGAACCAAAAGGTGAATATTAAACACTCCCCTTCATCAACAGTCCCCCTTCCAGAGAATACGCCTGGCTGATCACCAAAACAGGAAATCAATGGGTTTAACTCACTGAAAATGGATCATTTTGGAAATATGATTTATTGTTAAAGAACATCTCTAAAGTTTTCTAGCAGCATTCCCAACGGCCCCATGACTTTCTCAGCTATGCCAGCTGTTCTTTTTGGTAATCAGTGACATAACCGCGTGTCGATGTGTTTTACAAAACATTTTTCTTTGCTCCTACAAATGAAGTCCCACACATCTGTGAACACGTCTGTGTGACACCCTGTCCGTATTATTCTTCCCTATTATTCATGGTTGATCACTGTCCGTGACTGGACTCTGGGTTAGATGGATCCAAAGTCTGACCCAGTATGAGCATTTAAATTTTAGTACTGCAGATGCAATTTCTACTAATATTAGCAGAGAATATTATTGCTCTCTTCTACCTCCAGTGAAAGGAGGATATCCAGTTTATCAAGGGTCTTCTTGTCAGTTTGGAAATCTAGGACTTGAATATGACACAGTAAAAGTACTTGTACCTATATTTTAAAAACTATTGTGAGAAGGACCTGAAAGTGCCCACTGCGAACCTTGTGCAGGTAAGAATGTCTTAAGCATGTAAGTTTTTCTTTGGCTATTTTTAAAGGGTGTAACTTTTAAAAAGAGGATTAAGCTACAAACGCAGGAAAAACTTCTATTAGCCTCCAATAAGACATTCTTTTTCAGAAATTTATACCAACTGCCTGTTGCAATAGCTGGGGTATTACTCAAAATACATGATTTTGTATGAGATTCAACAGTTTTATTTTAACTTTATTCTAGATTTCTCTGTTATTGATTTCTGTAAAAATAAAGGAAGAAATAGAAACATCATGAAGTTCTGGATTAGCAACTTTAGCCACCTTCATGAATTAACACCTTCTCATATACTTAAAATGAAGGCATGCCTGCCTTTCTTCACATTTCATAAACATGATTTGAAGGAGAAGATATACTTTTTAAGAGAGAGGAAATATAAAAAAAAAAAAGAAGAAACGAAACCTTCAAGGCATGCCTGTGCTTCCTTTAACTTTTTTTCCATAGCAATTTGTAGCACACTGGACAGCTGGTCGAAACTGCGAACTCTGAGAGTTGAAGCTGTGAGGAGAAGCAATGGTTGGCCATCTTTACTTTTGGCTTCAGACTGAACAGTGTCTCCACTAGAAAAAATAAATTATACCTTTTTAAAATAAGAACTTTAATAAACAGCAAATACAGAAAATTTTAGAGATTAGTCTTGAATGTTATGCAAGCTCCACACGATAAAGCACATACAATTACTTTAAACTGTATTTCAGAAAACTTCTGAGGTAAGTCAATTTATTCACTACAAATCATCATGTGGATATGCCCAAAGAAGGCTGTGACCCCATGGAGAGCCTGCACTGGAGTAGGATCCTGGTGGGACCTGTGACCCTGTGGACTGCCCGTGGGAAGGACTCACGCTGGAGAAGTTCGTGGAGGACTGTCTCCTGTGGGTGGGACCTCATGCTGGAGCAGTGGAAGCATGTCAGGAGGAAGGAGCATCAGAGACAATGTAATTGGTAAATTGGTAAAAACAGTAATTGGTAAATGATCACTCCGTCCTTATCTCATCCCATGAGCTCTTCCATTGTGTCTTCTTCCTGTTCTGCTGAGGGGAGTGACAGGGGAGCTCCGTGGGCATCTGGTGCCCAGCGAAGGTCAACCCACCACACAGGAAGACACTCCTAACACTAACAGAAGTCACGGGGTTAATCGCTGCTAGATGCATGTTGTTAAAAGTCTTAGAAGTAGGCAAGTTGTATAAATCACTAACGAAACAGGTCTGTTACACAACAAAGATAGGATACTCTCAAACTTTCAAAAAACCCTACAAATTTTAACCCAAAATTTTCACTACATATGAGTAAAAAACCCCACCCATTTCAGCTTCTCAAATAACATTAAGGCTTTCTTTATGCTAATGGCACACAGTTTTGCTTCAGAGTTCACCTTCAACATTTCAAACGACACTGCAATTCAGACTTACTTGATCTCATAACCCTCTCCAAATACTGAACAGCCCAGTTGCGTTTTCCACTCAAGGGGCTCTCTGAAGACAAACGCCGCTTCCTGAGGATGTCTACTGCTGAAGTCCTCTGCAAACTTAATAATGTGATTTAAAAGAGATTCATTCAAAGGGGTGATTTCAAGCGTTCCAGTTCCAGACCCAGCAGCAGCCCACTGCGTCGCTCTTGCCAAGGCAGCTCCCATGGTCTCGGCTGGTATCAAAGGCAAACACCTGAGCAAAGAAACACCAGCAAAGACAAAACTGAGCCCTCAAATTACAAATGCAATACCCTCTTGATGCCATAGTTTGAAACAAACCTACCACTTTAACTCATTTAAATCCCCAAAGTAGGGAAGGGGGAAAACTAAGAGAACTCAAGTATTTTTACAAACAGGGAAACATGGTAAAACCACCATTATTTACATCTGGATTAATTAATTCCTGGCGCCATTAGCAACTCGGGGTGCTGACAGCATTAGGTCTCTGTTATGGCTGTAACAAAAGGCTCTCGGGTTCTTGTAAAGTTGATGCCGCTGTTAAAAACCGTGAGTGCAGCGGGACAGACACATACAAACCCCAAAAGTGACAGCCCCCGAGGCATTTTCTTTAAATAGGGGAAAGAGGGGTATCAGGCCCGGCCGTGAAGTCGAGAGCC